TTTCCTCGGCGCCCCTCGCTGCCACCAGCCCCAGGCTCAGCCTCGCTCAGGTGTCCCTTCAACACCACCTTGGTCACCAAACTCGAGGGGTGGTGGTGGGCTGCTGGCTGATCGTTATCACCAGCCACTCCTCGGGAGAAAGACGAGGCGTTCCGGTCCTATACGGACTGACCAACAGCCTGGGAAATCCACCCGGGCAGTTCTCCTGCGTGCTGCAGTGGCGCTGTGCGCCTGAATTGACTGTCCCTGCGCGCATGACTTTATGTGCCAGGTTCTGCTGTTGAGATCGACCGTGGCATCGAACCAGCCAGACCCAAGCCTGTGGCAGGAGGAAAGAGGGACTGCGATCAGGAAGCATAGAAACACACTTGGAGAGAATAAGCGTTTGAAGCCAATTCAGCAGGGCAGGGCGTGGGTAGCTGTTGAATGGAGTGATGGCTTGGGTTCAAATGCTCCTTGCCCTGCTCCCTGGCTCAGTGCCCCGGAGAAAGTGATTAAAATCTTGGTGCCTCGGTTTCTCCACGGGCAACACAGAAGTCTTTAGCGGATTAATCGCAAGTTTTGATGCATTCGTTTGCATCAAGTGTTCAGCCACCCATGAGCAGTGGGAGCCCTCCAGGGCTCCAGCTCCTGGCTTCTAACAGCCTCTCCCAGGGGCATCTTTTTAACCCAGATGGAGACAGGGAGAAGTCGGGCACCAAGCGGGGGCCAGGGGCGACCCATGGCTTGGTGGCACAGCAGGGGAGGGACTCTCAAGGTGTGGAACCAGCTGGGAAGCCAGGTGGTGGAGAGGGGGCGCTGAGAGGGGAGTGGAAGGGAGGCATGCAGACTGGGATCCCGCAGGTGTAGTGGGCGGGGTCAACAGTGAAAGCCAGCTCGTCATCTTTGGTTTCTGGGACCCCATGTGTGTCAGGAGCAGAGGGGCCTTCCACGGGGTTGTCGGCAGCTGGTTTCTCCCTGAACATCGTCAGGCCTGTCTTCTAGACGTCGCTGGTTGGGCTTGAACTTCCAACCGTTCAGTTCTCAACCAAGCATGTTAACTGTCTGTTCCAGGGACTCCTCTGGTTTTTGGTTTTTTTTCTTTTTTTCTTCTCTGGTTTTAAAAAAACAAAGCAAAACAAAAACAAGAAACAAACCGCCCTTACTACTGCCGATTTGGATCCGACTCCTGTAGGACAGGAGAGAGCTGCCCCAGTGAGTTTCCAAGACTAGCTCTTTGCTGGAGGGGAAAACCTCATCTTTCTCCCTCTGAGGGGCTGGGGATTTCGAACTGTTGACCTTACAGTTAGCAGCCCAATGCATAACCATTATGCCACCACGGCTGCTCTTGCTTTACTTAGTGTTTGGGGTTTTGTTTTGTTTTTGTTTTTCCAGTTTTGTTTTAACCTCTATCTTCTGCTGACCACATTGGGGGGTCGATGAACATGCCCCGCCTACAGCAAACTCAGCTGCCTGCCTGCCTCGCTATATAAAAGAGCAGAGCGAGTGGGAGGCAGGCAGAGGCCAAGAGCCCCCAGGGAGCTCGCAGCTCATCCCTGTCCCTGGGGCCCACAGGGGGGCCAGCAGGAGAAGAGAACACCTGGATATGGGGGTGCCCCTGCCTGGCATCTGCACAAGGCTTTGACGTGCCCCCTGCTCCCACTCCAAACCTATTCCCGTGGAAGCAATCCTTGTTCTTTGTGGGAAGTTGGGGGCCTGCAAAAAAAGGGGTCCTATCAACTAATGACCCCCAGGTGTAGCTCGGGTCAACCCGTGGGGGGGTCTTTCCTGCATGAAATAAGTCCTCGGTCATTCCCCCCAAGCTGGGACCAAAAGTGGCTGTTGGGCCGCCATCCTGTTCCCGAGATCACTGAAGTTTCTCGGGGGCTCATTCCAGCTTCCGACAGCCCCTCCACACACACACACACCCCGGTCAGGGTGGCCTCTGTTCCCGCTTTGCAGAGGAGGAGGTCAAGGCTTTATTCAAGGTCCTCCAAGCTGGTCTTTGATCCTCATTGCACCTTAGCGACCCATTGGTTCTCAGCAGCATCCCTTTCAGAGGGGAGGGATGGGTGGGGGCGTGGAGGGCGGGAGGGTGGGCCTGGCTGCCATCGGATGACTCGGGGCCATTCTGTTGCAGCTAATGTTCCTGCCCCGCCAACGGTGCTCCGAACACGTTCCTCCACCGAAAAACCTGGGCATCTTTCTATCTTGTTTGCTCGGGGCAGGTTTCTGGGAGGACATTTTCGAGGGCCTTGATGTCTGTTTGTCGCCCCCCCCTCCTCAAAAAAATTTTTTTTAAATTTCTTCTGCACTTGAGCTCCTCTCGTTCTTCAGCCCACGGCCACCACACCTGCTCCGGGCCCCGTAGGCACCACGCTCCCGTCCTGCCGTCACCGGCGGCTCTGTAGCAGAGTCTCTGCCCTGCTGGTCGGAGTGAACACGCGGGGCTGCTGGGACGTTGTTTGTGGACCCCGGATTTCATTCTCATACTGTGTTTACACGTCCCACGTCTTTCATCCCCTCTCGCGGCCGTTTCAGAACAGAACAGGCCTGTCGTTTGGCTGCGCGTGCACACCCTCGCCAGCAATGCCTCCTCACGCCCGTCATAGTATTGCTGGCACCCCTCTTCCAGACTCGTATTTAGACGCTGGGGTGTCCTTAGAAATATGCCCTTGTGTGGTTCAGTTTCCTTAAATGGAATTGTACTTAAGAAGGAAAGGGGGCGGGGGCGGGAATCCTGACCTGTTTCTTATTTTTTTTCCTTCTCTGCGTACCGTTTTCTAACTCTCCAAGCTGCTGTTTGTAAACCTGGGGTGCCGCACTCTGACGGCGGCGTGGACGTCCACGTAACCGTACGTTTCTAACACGAGCCCCGGGAGCGGAGTGGGCCATGCACGGGGCTGCTTCACTGCAGGGCCAGCCGTTGGAAATCCCCACTCCACGGCGGAAAGAGGAGCCTTCTCCTCCCAGGAAGATTTGCAGTCTCTGGAACCCAGAGGGGCAGTTCCTAGAGAAAGGTTCTTGGAGTTCCGAGAGGGTGGCTGTGAGTCGGAATCAACTCGATGACAAGCGAGTGAATTTTGTTTGCTCTGTACTTTCCTTGGCCAGCCTTGTGTGACACACCCTCCCCAGTCCCCACCGGCAGAGGGGTCCAGACAGCTTTCTAGTATCTGACCGTCTGACAGTGGGACCGAGCTGACGGCTTTTGTTAAGGTCCTCCGAGCTCCTCTTTGATTCTCCTGTAACATTATCCCGTTAGAAATAATACTAATAAAGCATCCCATTGTCCCAGAAGTGGGACCACTCCTTTTTTTTGAGGGGGGGCACTCCTTGTTGTATAAATTTGAATTTCTGCTCTTCCTGGTGAGGTTGGACATCTCCTTATATGTTTACCAAGATTCCTGAGTGACTCACCAATTCATCTTTCTTTGGCCGGTTCCCAGAAGTTGCTAGTGAGTTTCAGATCAGAAGTTGGCAAACCAATGGCCCACGGGCCTCGGCCGGCACCCCTGCTAGGAAGGGCATCATAGCCATTGAAATGGTTGCAAACTAGGGAAGGGGCAGGGCTGGGTTTGGGGTTGTTGGGTTTTTGTGTTTTGTTTTATGACATGAGCAAAATCCTATGAAAATCTAGAGTTCTTTTTATAGTTCCCTCCCCACCCCCAGCCATTCCTGCATTGTCTGTGGGTACACTCCACCCACCGCGGCCCGTATTGTGCTTGGAGGGGGTTTTGTTGTGTTTCATTTGATTGGAGGAATTCCTGAGAGAAGTCTTTCCGTGCCCGAGGCCTCCGGGCTCCGCGCTGGCTTCTCCAGGCACGCTGCTGCGATTGGGCCCTGCCGGGAGCCTGGCCGTGGAGGGGGCTCGTGCTTGGCAGCTCGCTACAAGGTCAGTCATTGGGAGCCACCCAGCTGCTCCGAGGGAGACAGACGGAGCCGTCCACTCCCTGAAAGAGGAAACCCACTCATCCAGAGAGCCGAATGCATGGATTTGGCAAGTCCGAAGTCCGGCAGTGGTAGAGGAAGTGTTCCCAAGACCTGAACGTTGGCTCCGAGAGAGCCACATGGCTTCCCAAACCCTCAGAGACCCACATGGAAGCAGTTCTACCCAGACCTGATCAGAGGAAGTGTTCCCAAGACCTGAACGTTGGCTCCGAGAGAGCCACATGGCTTCCCAAACCCTCAGAGACCCACATGGAAGCAGTTCTACCCAGACCTGATCAGAGGAAGTGTTCCCAAGACCTGAACGTTGGCTCCGAGAGAGCCACATGGCTTCCCAAACCCTCAGAGACCCACATGGAAGCAGTTCTACCCAGACCTGATCAGAGGGCTGTGATGGGTCAGCCTTGACCTGTAGCAGAGGGAGGGGTGGGTGTGCGTGCGTGCGTGTTTTCTTGCTTTCTGACGTGCGTATTTTCCTAGCCATTCCTGAGAGGTTTCTGTTTGTTTCAAATAGTGTGAGGTAGGGATCCAGCTTGGTTGTTCTCAGGCCAGTCAAGCCACTTGCCCAGTACCGGTCACCCTAGCATGCGCTCCTCATGGACTTCGGTTCCTCCGGAGACGTCGGAGTGCCCCTTTGCGACGTGGCCATGCAGTCTTGATAACTGTACTGGTTACTGATGGTGGGTGGGCGGCCGTGCCCGCGTCTGACCTTGAACACTGGAAGGATCTTTGGCTGGTGAAGGCAGAGTCGGCTTGGCCCAGGAGAGGGCACAGGGGCCTGAACAGCCTCCTGTCTGGACTCTCCGGTGCCTGCCTGCCTTGGAGCCCTGGGGGCACAGTGGTTACACACAGGGCTGCGAGCCTGCAGGTCTGAAGTTTGAAACCTCCAGCTGCTCCTTGAGAGAAAGAGGAGCTTTCTACTCCCGGAAGTGGGTACGGTCTCAGAAGCCTGCCGGGCCCTTCCGCCCTGCCCTGCAGGATCCCCGCAAGTCTGCCCTGACCTGATGGCAGGAGCTGAGGGAGCAGAAGGCCTTGCGTTTGGGCAAAGATGGGGGCTGTGAACCAGCCCGTGTGCCGACCGGCACATCCCACACGGCCACACCACACGGGTGCTGGCTTGTTACGTGTACATTTGTTTATCGCCCCCATGGGACGGTGGGGGGCGGGGTGTTAAAACATCAGGAGTTCCTCTGCCCTCCCATGAGTTCGAGCCCCAGCCCTGAAAGGTGCCAGGACCCTGGGTGACGGCACTGCCCACGCTCTGCATTCACCGGGGAGCCATCGAGACCCCTCCCCATGATGGAAGCTGTGCAGAGGGCACCATTCCTGCACATCACGAAAGCATTCTGACCCTCCCAGAGAACAAAGCCAACTGGCGTCTGCAGGGGGGCTGGTGGCAGGAAGGGGAAGCCCAGGGGATGTGGCTCCCCACGAGGCCTGGGGGAGACGTCTTGGATCTGTGCTCCCTGGCAGGGCACCGATGGAGGAAACCCGACCTTCATTCTGCACCCCAGGCTGGGGGCTGGGGAGCTGGAGCTGCCCGTTGACCAGCAGCTGTGGACACACACCCTTGGGGTGGGTGGGTTGGGGTGGGGGGCCCTCTTGCCCAAGAAGCCATCTTTATCCTCACATTCACCGGGTGGGGGATCAGAGCTCTAGTCGTGCTTACTGTCTCTTCCCTGGTCATCGGATGATGCTGCGTTAGGTAAGGAAGGCGACGGTAATACTGGGGTGCTGCTTTGGCGGGGGGAGGGGGGCGAGAGCAGAGCTCTCGTGAGTCATGTCAGACTTTGGGGTCAACAAGCACCCGCTGCGTTAGTGTTCTGTTCGCTCTGCGTCTTACTGAATCTCAGTGTTTCAGACACCGGGAAGCCACGTCGCTCCTCTCCGCGGGCACAGTTACTCAGAACACACATCCCTTACGCTTACTCGCAGAACCTGTGTCTGTGGCGCAATCGAGTTAGGACCGTGCGCTTGAGGACTGCAGCCCAGCTGCCGGCTTTGAGAGCGCACGCAAGCACACTCCGTACCCCGGGCGTGTGATGCCCAGATAACAGAGCGCAGCAGAACTGCGGCAGGCACGCAGCCGCACGCACCTGCGGCTGGTTTCTCCAAGGCCGCTGCACGCTCTCCATGGGTTCCTGTTAGCCATGGCCCTGATGTCTGGCTTCCTTAGCAATCAGCTGCGCCAAGAGCAGCCCCAGGGCCTGAGCAAGTGAACGGGGCTCCTCGGGGGTATTGGGGTGTATCTTAGAGAAGTGTCTGTCTGAGGAACCCAGCACCTTGGAGGAGGAATGAGTCCGTAGCACCATCCCCTGGGCCCACTGGCACACCAACGAGCAGAGGCCGCCTACCAGGGCTGGCTCGAGTCCGCTTCAGATACGAGCAAATGCCCAACCTGCCAGACGCAGGTGGGCTGTGAAGGAGAAAACGCTTTCAGAGCGGTTGGTGATGTGCAGGTGGTGTGCTCTGCGCTCGGGAGAGGTTAGGTCCTTGCTCAAAGCCACACAGCTCCTGGGGGAGACCCCCCCCCCCTCAGTGGGAGTGGGAGTTGTGGGAGGAACCACCAGCAGGGTCCTCCTTGTCCCTGAGGAGCTGTGGGACCAGCAACAGGCCAGGATTGGCCTTGGGCAACCTTGGATGCTCAGTCTCCTGCAATATATCCTGACACCCCGTGGCTGGGAACCTGGGACACATATAGCGCAGAGCACGCCTGGACCCTGGTGGGACTTCCACGAGAGGCAGGTGTGGTCGGTGGACTGCTGTTTCCCCATAGCCGTGGGCATGACACACCTCTCCTGCCCCGTCCAGGTCTCAAGCAGGGCCCTGCGGGGTCGTCCTCCCAGCCACAGCCCACCCAGGACGTGGCCACCACCGTGGACCAGGACCCAGCCAGGCAAGCAGTCCCACGTGAGGCTGAGGAGGCCGGGGGCACCGGTGAGTGCTGGGGGTCCCAGAGAGGAGTGGGCACCAGGAGGCCCAGCCCCAGATTGCTGCAAAGGACCCTCATGATGCCTCCCCCCCTCTGTCCCCCGCAGGCGGGCCTCAGACGGGCATGCGGTCCATCATGAAGTGGAAAGAGGAGCCCGAGGACTTGGCCGTCCAACGGAAGTGCCTCCAGTTTGTGGGGGTCAATGGCGGGTGAGAAGACCCCCCCACCCCTGCCATGTTCCCCGCTCTTACCTCATCTTCCCCACCGTCCCTCAGCCCGCTCCCCTCCCACGTGAATGGAGAGCCCCGCGCCAAGCCCCTCGCCTTGATGAATTCATGCCATCAGTCTGTGGAAACCGAGGCATGAAGAGCCCGAGGCCCTTGCCTAACATCACACGGTGTCCCCACATTTCGGCCCCTGGGACCTGGTGGGAAGCCACTGGACTGTCCTACCCCCGGGGCCCACTTGGGGCCTCACAGGGGTGTGGGGCTCCAGAGAAGGCACTGGAGGGCCCAGGGTGTCTGGTGCAACTCGCTGGAGTAGGGTGGACTGGTCCAGTGTGGTCAAGGTGAGGATGGGGTGAGGTGGAGCGAGGGGGTGGCCAGCACTTAGCCTTCCCTCCAAGGCAGACAGCAGCCTCAGACAGAAGGGCGAGGGTCTGAATTGCAGGCGCCACAGAGGACTAGGGACACCAAAGCATTGACTAAGAGTGTCCCTCTGAGCAGGCCCCATCAGAGGCCACACGCTGGACACTCACCATGGGCCAAAGCCATCCTGGAGGCCGAGGTCTGCACATTGAACCCATGGGAGGAAGATGAGGCTGTCTGCTCCTGCCGAGGTTTACAGCCTTGGACACACAGGGGGCAGCCCCCCTCGTCCCCCAGTGGGTTTCCTGTGCACAGCGTGCTGCAGCACCCTGCAGGGTTGGGGAGGGGGCTCCATTTAACCAGCAGGGAGGCTGAGCCAGGGCAGGAGAAGCCAGCCCCCCTGCGCCCTTCCTCACAGTCTGCCTGCCTGTCTGTCTGCCATGCCTTGCCCGTCCATCCATCCGTCCACCTGTCCGTCCTTCCTCCCCTCCCCCACGCAGGTATGAGTCCTCGTCGGAGGACTCCAGCACCGCAGAGAACTTCTCGGACAACGAGAGCACGAAAAGCGAGGCTCCCCAGTCAGAGGAGGGGGCTCCCGGTGTGGCCGAAGCTCCTCAGCTCAGGCCTGTGGGGACAGCAGCCACCCAGCCCAGCCACCAGGAGGGCCAGCCACCTCGAGAGCCCCAGCACATGTCCACAACCGAGGGGGCATCAGGACCGGACGGGGAAGAGGAGATCCGGTCAGTGCTTCGAATGGGAGGGATTCAGGAAGCGCCATCAGTCATGCACACCTTAGTCTGAATTACAGAATGAGCACTTTTCCCCGTGGGGAGGTGAAGGTCAGTTCAGAATGTTGGAGTCAAGGCTTAGGAGCCAGAGTTGATTGTAAACCATCCACCCACCCGCTGGTCCTGTTTTGTTGTTGTTGTTGTTTGTTTGTTTTTACCTTCCCCCACTCCCCAATTAGAACTTTGTCCTTGGGAAGTTACATAGCTTTTTTGGTGGGGGACCATCTGTGTTTTCCACCTCTGCCCCGGGGGTGGGCTGTAAAGGGGGTGAAAGGGGTCTAAGGGGATGTGTTGGTGGAAGGCCTTGTCTGAAACTTCACCACTTGGGCGGAGGAGGGGGAACCCCCGGGCCTACTGGGTGGGATGGTGGAGAAGTGAGGTCCACCCAGCTCCACGGGGGGATGTGGGGCACGAGGGGAGCCAGGAGGCCGAGGGGGGCCCCCATCATCAGGCCCCTCTGCATCTTCACCGACAGGATGGAGCTCAGCCCGGAACTCATCTCCGCCTGCCTGGCCCTGGAGAAGTATCTGAGCAGCCCCGGCGCCCTCACCGAGCGGGAGTTGGTACGGCCAGGCCCCACACCGTGCCCCCCAACGCTTCCTTAGCCTCCGAGCCTCCTCTGCCTCGTGGGGGCCCCGGAAATTAAGCTGGGCACTTGGGGAGGTGGGTGGCACGAGAGTCCAGGGCCCAAGAAGGTGGGGAGGGGACCCAGCATGCCGATGGAGGGCCAAACCTGAGCTCTGTAGTCCCTGTTCCCACGGGGGCTTGCCAAGTCCTCTCCCGGGCATCCACCCTCCCACGTCTCTGTATCTACTTCCCATCAAGACTTACCCCAAGTTCCTCTGGGGTTGGTCTTTGCCAGGGTCTTAACGGGCATGGGTGTCTGTGCACCAGGGGACGAGGTGCCCGGACATCCCCTCCGAGGGTCTTGTTCAGGACAAGGGCAGGTCTTGATAGGGATGGGTGCCCCGGCTCATGCCCCGCGCCCCTCCCCGCCCCATCCAGAAAGCAGCCTACACCACGGTGCTGCAGGAGTGGCTGCGTCTGGCCTGCCGCAGCGACGCCCAGCCGGAGCTCGTGCGCCGCCACCTGATCACGTTCCGGGCCATGTCGGCGCGGCTGCTGGACTACGTGGTCAACATTGCCGACGGCAACGGCAACACGGCGCTGCACTACTCCGTGTCTCACGCCAACTTCCCCGTGGTGAAGCAGCTGCTGCACAGCGGTGAGCAGGGGGCTCCCCCGGGTGTCGGGGGGCTGCCACCTGCAGTCAGACGGGGGAGACAGCTCGTCCCCGGTCTGAGGACATGCCAGAAACTGCCCTCCCAGTCTGACGGGGGAGACATCCTCCTCCTCACCAGTCGGAGGGGCCAGAAGCTGCCCTCCCGGTCTGAAAGGGGAGCCACCCCCCAAGTCCATCCAGTCTGAGGCAGAAGGCACTGCCCTCTCAGCCTGAGATGGGAGACGGGGTCCCTACCTTTTTCCTCAAGTGAGTGAAAAAGGCAGACGGCTGAGACTCGTGGAATAGGCTCGGCCCTCCCAAAGCCCCCATTATCTCGGCGGAGGAGAGCGATGTCGCCTCCAGTCTGGGGCGCAATGAGGACGAGAGGCTTGCCCTCCCTCCGTCTAACAGGGATGCGGCCTGCCAGTCCGACAGAGGGGGCAGAGCCGGGATCCGATGGAGGGGAGGGGTCCGCCCTGAAGGGTGAATGTATCCCCCAGACTCATGCGGGGGACGCAGCAGTTCCTGCTCTTAGTGCTAAATGGAGGGGCCGATCCAAGGCACGCCCAGTCTGGGGGAGGGTGCATACAACCCCCCCCTGTGGAGAAGGAGACCCCTAGAATAAATGTAGCCCTCAGTCTGAGAGAAGGGGCAAGCAAGGGCACGCATGGATGGAGGAGGAGGCACTGCACCCAGCACCTCTCCACCCTGGCTGTACTGAGAAGCTCCCTGTCTGATGGTGGAGGCGTGGCCCACCCACCTCACCCCCACCCCCGGGAGCCTCCGCTAACCCTGTGTGACCAGGCTGGCAGCCCAGGTGAAGTCTAAGGGTTCACGCCCGCCTTGCCCCACCCCACTCAGGTGTCTGCCAGGTGGACAAGCAGAACCGCGCCGGCTACAGCCCCGTCATGCTGACCGCGCTGGCCACCCTGAAGACCCAGGAGGACATAGAGACCGTCCTGCAGCTCTTCCGGCTCGGCAACGTCAACGCCAAAGCCAGCCAGGTAGTGGAGGGGGTCCTTGAGTCCCTGCTAGGTCAGGGCTGCACGCAGGGCCCAGGCACCGCCGTCTCAGACCCCACCCAGGGGAGCGAGCGGCCTCGTGCTGACCCCGAGACACAGAGTCCCCTGCTCAAGGCCAAGCTGCTGGAGCCGGACCTGAACTCTGGATCCTGAGCCCCTCCCCACCGCACCCTTTGTTTTTGCCGAATGACAGAGGGGTCTGCACCTTAGAGCCCTTTTCCTGGGAGCCAGTGACGGTGGTGATGTTCGTCCTTCAGCCCATCACTGACAACATCACCATCCTCCTCCAGATGGTTCCCCTGAGGACATGTCTCCCCCTCAGGAGTTTCGGGTCCCTGCAGACAGGTGTTTCCATCTACGTCAGGGCCCCTGCAGGCCACACCTGGCTCCGGAAGGGCCTGCCGCAGTGGGAGACACCTGGCTCCCACCCTTAATTGCTTTCTTTCTTTTTTACCATTTGCTCCTGAATGCATTTTTTTTCATCCCAACGCTACTTATTGTTTGTTTGTAAGCATTTTATGGAGGGCTCGCGCAACTCTTGTAAGAATCCCCACATGAATCGTCTCAGGCAGGTTTGTACAGATGTTACCATCGTTCTTTCCTAGGTGCTTTCTTCCCATGGGGCCCTTGGTGTCAGCTCCTCCCCACCACCACTTCCGCCCCCCCCCTTTCTTAATCTGACACCCTCCTGGCCCTTCCGGGGCCCTTGGATGGGGCTGGGCCCTGGGGACTCAGCAGCTGGACGTGCAGGCGTGGTTGCCCCCGGGGAGGACCGGCGGGCAGGCAGCAGGAGCGTGTCCAGGCAGTGTGGTGGTTGGCAGCACGTTTGGGGTCTGGGCGCTGCAAGAAGCCACCCCAGGGGAATTTTTATTTATGCATGAAGTATTAATTCAATTCATAAGACTCACTATACTTATGATGAGACACTACATTAAAAAATCATTTTATTAGGGATTCGTGCAACTCTTATCACAATCCATCCATCCATCCATTGTGTCAGGCACATTTGTACATTTGTTGCCATCATCATTCTCAGCACATTTATTTGCTTCCTACTTGAGCCCTTGGTGCCAGCTCCTCATTTTTTCCCCTCCTTCCTGCTCCCCACTCCCTCATGAACCCTTGATAATTTCTAAATTGTTATTATTTTTTCATGTCTTACATTGACCAATGACTCCCTTCACCCACTTTTCTGTTGTCTTCCCTGGGAGGGGGATTTTAAGCAGAAAATGGCCCGGCCTGATTCCTGCTGGCAAAGCTCCCTGCTGAGAGGATCAGGTGCCAAAGCCTGAAGGGTGGAGACCCTGGGAGGGGTGGGGCAGGGGTGCGTGTCCTGGCCCGAGCACCCACCTAACTGCAGGAGGGAGAGACGGGTGCTGGGCGGAGCGGAGAGAGAGGGCCTGCCTCCCTCTGACTGTGACACTCTCCCCTGTCCTTACCCACCGGACTGCTCATCGAGGAGGCTCGACTGAGGGCAGACAAGTCCAGGAGCCTGCACTCCGGGGTTCCCTTCCCCTCCCCTCCCCACCAAGCTTGAAAATGGGCTCACTTGTTACGCGCCAAGTTGACCCTTGTGAGTTAGGGACGGATTCAGGGTGGTGGCGTTGTGGTTTACCTGCTGGGCTGTGATCCCCCAGGTGTCCACAGCCCTAAACCATCATCCGCTCCTGGGGAAGAAAGACCGGGGGCTTTTTACTGCTGTAGACAATGACAGCCTGGGAAACTCACGGGGGTGGGGGGGCAGTTCCACCCTGTCCTGGGGGTTGCGTGGGGTCAGCATCAACTCCATGGCAGGGATGTGTTTTATGGGTTTTGGTTGTATTTGTTTAATGTCCAAGAGGGTTCAGCCTAAGACAGCTTCTTGGGGGAGGAGGCATTTAAGTGGAGAGCTGAGGGGGGGTGATGGAGCTGCCAGCAGGAGGCAGGGGGCCCACAGGGGGAGGGAGTTCCCACATTCGGGTCCAGGGAGGGCGTGTGTGAACGGGAGAGAAGAACACAGGTTCCGGGGAAGCGTGAGGTGCCCTGGGGCCTGGTGTGGGCCACAGGCCTTCCTGGCCCTGGTCGCTCGTGTAGTGGTTACACATTGGGCTACTAGCCTCAAGGTCGGCAGTTCGAAGCAACCAGCTGCTCCTTGGGAGGGAGACTGGGCTTTCGACCCCGTAAAGAGTCACAGTCCCGGAAGTTCTGCCCTGTCCTGCAGGATCGCTATGAGTCAGAATCGACTTCTCACCCTCCCACCCACCCCTTGTCCCAGGCGGGGCAGACAGCCCTGATGCTGGCGGTCAGCCACGGGCGGGTGGACCTGGTCAAGGCCCTGCTGGCCTGCAAGGCGGACGTCAACGTGCAGGACGACGACGGCTCCACCGCCCTCATGTGCGCCTGCGAGCACGGCCACACAGAGATCACCAGGCTGCTGCTGGCCGTGCCCACCTGCGACACGGCCCTCGCGGACCGCGTGAGTGCCCGCCCACCCCCAGCACCCCCGGGAGGCGGGTAGGGAAGGTGGGCGTCACGCTGCGGTGGCTGTTCTGCAGGACGGAAGCACGGCCTTAGTGGTGGCCCTGGATGCCGGGCAGAGGGAGATCGCGTCCCTGCTGTACTCCCGCATGAACATCAAGTGCTCGGTGAGTAGGGCCTGGCAGGGAGTGACGGGCTGTGGGCAGGAGAGTGGTCCATCTCCTTCTGGGACCCCCAGTGAGGAACCAGGCCTGGGGCACCCAGGCTGCACAGTGGTGGTTAGTATTCGAACCCAGATCTTCCTGCATCCCGAGTCCTGCTTTGTAGAAGGGTTTCATGACCTAGTCCCGCCCTAACAGAACTACCTCAGGGCTCTCAAAACGCACCTGCCATCGAGCAGATGCGGACTCATGGTGACCTGTAGCTCGGGGCAGGACTGTCCCTGTGGATTCCATGTTCGCCCAGTCCTTCTCTGAGCAGTGGCAGGTGGCTTCAAATGGCCGAGCTCGCAAGTCTCAGCCCAACTTGGAACCATGGCACCCCCAAAGGCACCTTTGACTTACCACAAGGGGTGGCTTTGCCAAACAGAAATGTATTTTCTCACAGCCTGCAGGACTCATAAGTCTAATTCAGGGTGCTGGCTCCAGGGAATGGGGCTCCAGGTTGGGCGCTGACCCCAAGGTGAGCAGTTCAAACCCACCAGTGACTCCCTGCTAAAAAGATGAGACTGGCTGCTCCCAGGAAGACTTAAAGTTTCTGAAACCCAAGGGAGTGGCCCTAGTCTGCCCTGTGGGGTCGAGAGGGGTCGGGAAGGACCTGACGGCAGTGGCTCAGGCTCTGGGGGAAGAGAAGGCTTCTCTCTTTCTGTTACCCCTTCTGCGCTTCTGCCCCTCAGCGATCTCCGGGGTGGTGGTGGTAGGGGGGGATCAGGCACCTCCCTTCTCCCATCTCTGCTCTCCTCCCTTGCTTATGTTAATCACCTTCACGTCTCAGAAGGGCTTCACCCCCACACCCCCACACCCCACATAAACCCCGCCTCAGTCAGAGTAAAGATGGCGCTTCCTAAGAGCAATTGTAGCCACAGGCCATAATGCAGCGGTTCTCAACCTGGGGGTCGAATGACCCTTTCACAGGGGCCGCCCGATTCATCACAGTAGCAAACTGACCGTGATGAAGTAGCAACGAAAATAATTGTATGGTTGGGGGGTCACCACACCATGAGGAACTGTGTGAAAGGGCCGCGGCATGAGGAAGGTGGAGACCCCCTGCTGTGCAGGGTGGGATTGAGAACTTAATCCACCCAGAGTCACGACCGGTCTCCACTGGACACATTCCCACCGAGCGCCAGCTGGGAGCTCAGCCCTACGCTGGGTCCAGGGGGTCACCGCAGGGACCGGGTTCAGCCCTCAACCCAGAGGAACATTCTAGAAATCGAAGCAATCTGCAGAGTGCTGAGGAGCACGAGAGAAGTCGGGGGGGACAATAAGACTCAAGTCAGGACAAGTGGAAGGAGCGGATGGGGAACCCAGGGGGCAGCGAGTGTGTGGGAGGGGGAGGATGGCTGGCACCACACCAAGACAGCCGGTGTCCCCAAGTCCACCGGGGACTGGCTGTTGAGTCCGTTTATGCCCTGCACTGTTCATTTGCAACAACGAGAAGTCGGGGGTCCCCCCCTAAAGGAAGCCCCCCTCTTAAAGGAAACCATTAAAGTGCTAAGGGAGTGAGCTGAGGCCTCAGGAGGACGCTGACAGGAGCCCTGTGGCGTAGGAGTCACCCCGTCGAGCAGTTCCCCGCAAGGTCAGCGGTTCGAAGCCACCAGCCGCTCCTCCTCGGGAGGAAGACAGGCTTGCTACTCCTGTAAAGAATTACGGTCTCAGGAACTCGGGGGCCTGTCTATCCTGTTACCGGGCCTCTGTGGGTCGGCACTGACTCGACGGCAGTCCATTTGGTTTTGATTTGGTGGGTGGGGGGTTGACATCCGAGCGAGTGAGCTGGGGGGCTGCCCAAGCAGAGGAACTGCCTGTGCAAAGGCCCTGAGGCTGGACCTGACCGGACAGCGAGGGAGGCAAGCAGAGTGGCCGGAGGGGAGCCCAGGAGGAGGTGACAGGCACCTGGGGGCTCTCCTTGAAGACGCACCGCTGGTGTGCTGAAGGCCCAGCGGAGCCTGGCTGAAAAGCAGCCTGACCTAGTTGTACCCAACCCAGCGTCCTGCTCATTTGATCACAAATCTAGGGTTTAAAACACCCTACCTGTTAGCAAGGTGCTCCTCTGGAACCCTAAGTGACGTCACTCACAGGCCTGTGGAGCAGGCCAGCTTTCCAGCCCCACAGTCTGCTTGTTCATTAAGTACCATGCCGGCATGACGGTCAACGCTCCGATTGTCATGCTTGTGTTCCAGGCAGGAAGGTGAGGCCTCGCGGGGCTATAGCATCTCTGGCCCACAGGTGCACCGCCAGGAAAGGTCGGAGCCTGTCCGCCTAGTGAGCCTGCCCTGCGGAGGCACATTTGGGACCCTGTGGGAGGGTGGTGTGGTGGGTATAACAGTGCCTCTAGAAACGGTGGGAGAGATGGGTGTGTGGATGTGAACAGGCCCCTAGGTGGGGACGTGACTCCCTCTGCTCCCTCCTCCGGGCATCCGGCCAGCTGGCCTCCTCTGTGAAGTTGGGGTGACAGGGCTCGCCATGTCCTCCTGTCCCCTGCCGTCTGCTCTGTGGTCCTGCCCCCAGGGACTCACGAGAAACAGTCCCGAGGCCCCCCCAGCACCCACCCTCTCCCTTGGTTCCAGGCTCCCACCTCCTTCCCCCTCAGTCTGCCCACTGCAGCCTGACAGCCCAAGCCCTCTGGTCCCTGCCCTCCAGGGCCCCCACCTCCCTTGAAGTAAAAAGCCCAGGTCTCCCCTCCCGCCCCTCCCTGGCCCCATCTCTCTCCTTTCCCTCTGGCTTGCTGATTCCAACGTCACGCTGCTCCCCGAGGAAGCCGTACTCCCTCTGCTGTCCCCCTGCATGCATCTCCGGCAGAGGGTGGAGGCTCAGGCCTGCGCCCGCTCACCCCAGGCAGAGTCGGCCCCTCCAACTTCTCCAATGGGTCCTGCTTCTCGTTTCAGTTTGCCCCGATGTCGGATGAGGAGAGCCCTGCGACTTCCTCAGCGGAGGAATAGCCGTGGGGGACACAGCCACCTCTCCTCCCCCAGGGGATCCCGGGACCGGTCAGCCCCACAGCAAGCCCTCACTCTCCTCCTAGGCCAAGTCCACACGCCAAGGCCCTGGTCTCCCAGGCCAGGGGGCTTCCCTTCTGCCTCCCCATGGGGAGGGCGACGGGGCTGACAGGAATGGGATTCCAGCCCCAAGTTTGGATCCCCGAGATCCCGTGACACCAGTTCAAAGCAGCCACAGGCCAGACCGAAGTTGAGTTCCTGTACAAATTGGCGCCAGGGGCTGGTGCCGGGGCGTGAGTTTGAGAACATTCGGAACAATAAGCCAGCCATTGTGGGCGGAGGAGGGACTGGGAGAAATAGTGTATTTTTAAAGCCTCGTTAAGGGAGGGGCGGGGGAGAGGAGGTTCGTATTTGTTGACGACTTTAAAAGTCGCTGGAATCGCACATCCTGAATGCTGTTACACACGAGTGGCTCTGTCCCCCCACCCCCCACCCTCATGTCATTGTTTGGTGTATAATAATGCTCACTGGGCCCACTCCCCCCAGTTTTCTTGGGGGTGTTGGCCTCTGGTGTCTTTACGAAACATGCTGTCCCGGTTGCCAGGGCAGGAAGCTCGAGGCTCGCTGCCTTCTTGCTGCCACTGCCAGCCTCTCCTGCCCCCTCCGGTCCCATCCCCAGGAGTGGGAGCCTCCACCCCTGAGGCCCAGCTCTGCAGGCTACGGGGGCGCCTGGGACTTGCAGACAGTCTGCCCATGTGGAGAAAGGCCCAGGAGGCTCTCCACACACAGGCCTTCCTCTGAAAACGCTGACCTTAGAAAATGCTGGAGGCCTGCAGAGGCAGGCGGCCCACGGTCCGCGGGGGAGCGTGGCCACCCCCTTCCTCCCCAGTGGAAGGGAGATGGGCATGTGCCTGCTGGCAGAGCACAGGGCGAGGCCCAGAGCCCATGTGGGTTGCATTAAAAGTTGGCCTTCCCCCAGAACTAGGCAACGCAAACTTAAAGAGACAGGGCTCCACTGAAACGCCAAACGAGGCCGGCTGGCCTCCCCCAGCCTGCCTGGAACGAAGTGCCAGCGCCCCCCCATCCCACCCCTGCTGGAAACGGGGCTCATCAGGGAAACCAGTTCCTCCTCCGGGCCTGTTTTGTCCCCAGAATCCCAGGGTCTCTGTTCTTTCCTGTTCCTCTGTGAAGGGAAACCGGGCAGGATTTCAAAGCCCATTTGCTGTCCCGTTGACGCCGACTCATGGAGAACCACCCCCACCCCCACCATCTCTGTTGAGGAGCAGAGCCATGCCCCACAGGGCTTGGGAAGGCTGGGCTTTCCTAAGGAATCAGCCAGGCCTTTCTTCCAAGACACCTCCAGGTGGGACTCCAATGGGAACTGCTTGTACCTCTTCCCCCAGAACCCCCCCAAACTGCCCAGAAGGGACGTGCTGGCTTCTAGGAATGCCGATTCCTTGGCTTTGATGGAAGGGGTGTCCCTAAGGTGAAAGAGGTTGGACGGAGTGGACACGAGGCAAGATTGAGTGTGTGTGTAAGTGTCAGCGGAGAGTAAGCGAATGAAACCCAGGCTGGGTGATGGCTGGCTGAAGCAGAGGTACTAGAGCTCGCTCCCCACGCGTCCTCAACTGCGTGGATTTTAAGCTCCTAGAAGCAGCCCAGAGGCTCTTGACCACCCCCCTCACCCCCCACCCCAGAGAAATCCCCGGTGACCCAGGCCCGCGCCTGAACAGGGGACGGGGCTCAGTGCGGACCGGCCGCCTCTTCTCACCTATACGCATGTCTTTACTTTCTGACCGCGGTACGTTCATACAGACAGTATTATTACACTTAAATGAAGTATTCCCGTTTCTGTAATCTTTTGTAGAAGGTAAATGGATTTAATAAAGCCATCGATAACACCAGTGCCTCCGCCTGGTCTCTGTCTCGCCGTGCGCCCCCTGCGGCCCGCAAAGAGATCCCCCTTAAAACAGGACATGACAGTCAAGATAAGAACTCTTAGGCTGGGCCCCAGATAAGCCGGGCAGGGCCCGTCCTAGAGCCACTGCCCGTTTAAACGTCCATTTGCGGGAATGAGTGAATGCTCACTAGCCATTCCTGGCCAGGACCCACGCCTCTGGATTTGCAGGTGTAGAGAGAATAGGTCATCGCTGCAGAAAGTTCCATTGGACACCACGGTCGTCACCCTGGGTCCCTTGATGGCGGGGTGGGTGCCCCTTTGGACTGCTGGCCCCAAGCTCGGCCGTGCAAAACCACCAGCCACGCAGAGAAAGACGCGGCTTTCTGCTCCGAGGCAAGTCAGTCTCAGGATGCCACGGAGCCCGTCCGCCCGGCCCTGTGGGGCTGTCATGAGGCGGAACAGACTCGGAGACGGTGCATTCGGCTTGGTTTGATTGTTGCCTGGAAGGAAATCTTTACAGATCAATGACCTGCTCCCGAACAATTCCTAGGGGTTGTAAGTGACAAAACGCAAGCAATACACAAGTGTTGGGCATAATGGAAAGTACCAGTTGGCATAAGTGCCGCTGTGGGGAGGGCCTCCTGCCAAACCTTTTTCTGATCGGTTGAGTGATAACCCTCTGACTTCACACGGGGACACGAGGGTCTGAGTCATCGTGCCAGCAGGCTGCACTTCCTCAGCCCACCCCCACCCCCACCCCGCCAGATAATCACTCGACTGACCTCTCACTTCCTTTTCCGCTTGGCAGTTCAGCCCAGAGAGCATGCCAGTTTTGAGAGGTTTCAGGAAACCCCGGGCACTGTATACCAAAGTCGGACGGGGATGGTATTTCTGGGCTGAGCGTTCACTACTTGGGCCACTCCCCGACCCCCACCTCCCGAGGCATCGAACCCAGAAGGGGTTCTTTGGGGAACACAAGTTTGCCCACCAGAGCACTTACCCAAGGCCATCTTTGTATCTTCTTGGTGGTCCCTGGATGGCTGCCTCCCTCCCTCCCTCCGCCCCCTGCTGGCATTGTGGTTACCCATTGGGCAGGGGGTTGAAATTACCAGCAGCCCTGCCCTGGGCAAGACTGGGCTTTCGACTCCCCTTCAATAGTTAACAATCTCTGAGATCCACTGGGGGGGTCTCTATGAGTCACCATTGACTCGATGGCAGTGGGTTTGGTTTGGTCGACTCCCCACCCCCCTCCAAAAAAAACCCCCAAGTGTCTTTGCTTCTTGGTGCCCCATTTGGACAGGTGCAGTTAATCGATGGGGCTTTGGGTGCACAACCTTACGTAGCTAGCTTATCGCTCGGCAGTCCAGGGCCTGCCCATCTCACAGAACCATCACTGGCCCGGTGGAAAGGTTAAGAACTTGCCAAGGTTCTGCAGGTACCAGGTGGAGCCAGAAGTGCAGCCCAAGTTGTGGTTTCCTCTCTGAGGTCCTGATTGCACTCTGTCTTACGTCATGTACCCCATTTAGGCACAGAGAAGGCAAGCTCGCTGCCAAAGCTCACACAGAGGAGGAGGCCAGAAGCCAGGCGCCCTCTGGGTCCCAGGGACAGCTCAATCTCTGCAAGGAAGGCTCAGCCTTGGCGGGGGCGGGCGGAGGCAGGGGAGAGAGTGACTCTCTATGAGCACTGACCCGTTCCCGGCTCAGACACCAATATTTCCACATCATCCCTACATCTGCTCTCCGCTCCGTAAGACAATGGCCTACAAATCCGAGAAAGGCCTCTGGCTTTCTGGGGTTCCGTGCTGGGCTACCAACAGCAAAGCCAGTGGTTCAAACCCAACCAGCCGCTCCAAGGGAGGACGCTGAGACAGCCAGGCTGCTCTGGTAAAGAGGCCAGTGGCTGAGTCTCTACGAAGCAGTTCTACTCCGCCCTAAAGGCTCCGTCCCTCTGAGTCAGGACGGGCCCAATAGCAGTGCGGAGTGAACCTCCCCAAAGCCGCACAAAGTAAGACACAACCAACACACAGCATGAGTCACGGGCTCTCTAAAGTGACAGTCTCGGGCACTCGAGGGGGCAGTTCTGCTCTGTCCGACAGGGTCACCGTGGGTCAGCAGCAGCTCAAAGGCGGGGGGGTTTGGTTTTTCCTATTTTTTGTTGGTTTTCCCGCAAGAGCTGCGCCTTGTGTTGAACACGACCGAAAGGCACTGGAGTGAAAACCCAAGGCTCCTCCTGATCGTTCCTCTGTGTGCACACAGCCTCGCACAAAGAAAACCCCACTGCGCGGGTGGACTCGGGGCCACCGCATAGCACAAAGTGGAACCGCCCCGCAGGGTGTCCAGGGCTGTCATGACTAGAGAAAGGTGGCCTGGCAGGGGGTGTCGTGGTTGAGCACATGGCTGGTGATTAGAACCCGCGAGAGATTCTCTGCCCGAAAAGATCTGGCAACTGTTCCCGTAAAGACGGCCCACTGCCATGGGCTCGTGGGAACGAAACGCATCACATCTCTTCCTAGGGTTTCTATCCATCTTTACTGGCGCCAACAGCCTCGTCTTTCCTCTACAGACCAACTGGTGGGCTTGAACCGCCAACCTGGCTGTTAGCAGCCCAATGGCTAAGCCACAGCACCTCCCCGGGTGCTGGCCTTGGCAAACCCACGGGCAGGGCTCTTCTTTCCTGTGACTTGTTCTGAACCGGAATCTGCTCGACGGCTCAGAGGATTTTTCTCCCACAGAGCGAGCGGCTGAAGGGTTGGAACCGCTGCTTTGGGTGAAAAGAGATTTGATCAGGCATTTTTTTGTCTTTTCAAAATCATTTTCTTGGGGGCTCGTATAACTCTGATCACAATCCAGCCATCCAGCCATTGTGTGCCAAGCACATTTATACATTTGTTGCCATCAT